CTCGTCGAGGAGCTCGTGTCGACCCTCGACCCCGAGGGCCGCTTCATGGTGCTCACGGCCGCCGCCAACCAGCTGCGCTACCCGTCGAGCCACACGGCCTACTTCAGCTCGTTGCTGGTCCACCTCTTTGCGTCGGCGCGCGACGACGCCGTGCGCGAGCAGATCACCCGCGTCCTCCTCGAGCGCCTCATCGTCAACCGCCCGCACCCGTGGGGCCTGCTGGTGACCTTCATCGAGCTGATGCGCAGCCACCGCCAGCTGATGCCCAAGGCGCCCGGCGAGATCCAGGCGCTGCTCGACCATATCTCGTCGACCCTCGTCGGCCCCGGCAACGGCAACGGCACCGGCCCAGGCGCGGAGGACGGCAGCCTCGCCCAAGGCGTCCCAGCCGCCCAGATGAACGGCATCGCACCTGGTCTTGGCTTCCAGCAGCAGCAGCAGCAGGCCTGAGGCGGCGGCGGGCTCGAGTCTGTCCCAGTCTCTTTCTTTCCCCCTTCCTTTCTTCATTCTTGCTTCTTCCCCGCGCGCCCCCTTTTCATTCTCGCCAATGCCCTTCGACGCCGACCCGCTCGCGTCCTTTGGATCCCACCTCGACCCGTCGCTCAAGCCCGCGAGGTCGGCGTGGACCCTAACCGCCCCCCTTTCCTCCATTCCTCTTCGCCCTCCCTCCTCTATGATCAAACCTTCTTCTGTTTCTTTCCTCTTTGCTTTCGCCCCTCTTCTCCCCTTTTATCCTCTTTAGCCTTGTCCTAGTGCGATGCGCCGGCGGCGGTGGTGGTGGTATTGCCAGCGCTCTCTCTCTCTCCCCTCTCTCTATCTCTCTCTTGTAACTGTGCTAGTCGTCGTCCGTCCCACCCGCCTACGAAACGATCACGGATTCTCGATCTTCCCCTCGCTCGCTCGATCCCTTCTCGCTCCTTGCTCTCAACGTGGCTGATGAGGCCTTCGCTGAACTGAAGAGTGAGCCGTGGTCGCGATCTCACGGTTCCGCGGCGGCGGCGAATGGGCCGCCGCGTCACGTCACGTCGATGTCCTCCTTCCGCACGGGGTTCCTCCCGGTCGGTCGGTCGCTCTTTCACGAATTGCCGCGCTCCCAACTGACTAGGCGTGCACGGTTTCCGACTCTCCATGCCTCCCTCCTCTCGTCCCCGTCTTTTCCCTCCTCGTCTCGTTGGCGTGACATGGCTTTGTTCCTTGGACCTCCCGAACGAGGTGCATGGCGGCCGCCTGATCTTGTCTCGCGGGACCAATCGGCCCTGTCGTCGCGACTGTTGCGCGTATATATGTACAGGTGGGGAGGCGGGAGCACCGCAGTTGCTGTTGCGCTGGGTATTTCGTGTGTTCGGGTATATCATGCCATCGAGTCGCCTGGTCCGGTCGGTCGACCACTGTCGTCCCGTTGTCAATCCGCGTCCTTTGTCCTCTCGGGCGGCATCGCAGTCTGCCGATTCATGACAGACGACTGCGCTTCGTCTCCTTCTCGCCGCTATCGTCCTGTTCCTCGTCCTCGTTCTCGGCCTGCGCCGCGCCGTCGGCATGCTGGGCCACCTGCAAGTGCTCGATGGCATCGTCGCAGTAGCACAGCTCGGGGAGCTCCGGCATCAGGTAGTCTGACCTGGTCCCGCCACCAGGTGCCTGTCGCAGGTCCACCTGCTTCACCAGCTTGCCGAACGCTGTGGCCACATCCAGCCGGTCAAGGCATCCGTACGTCTCGCTAGTGCGACCGCGGAGTTTCAGGACCGTCGTGCCGCCGAACGACTTGCAGTGATCGTCGGCCTCGGACGTGGGACAGGCGCTCGTCACGACCTCGGCACGGCTGCCGGATCCTCTGAACTTGGCCTCTGTTCCCAGCTCCAAAAGAATGGTCATGACCGAGCTCGTCCGCGCGTCTGGCGTCGGTCCAAACTTGCTGGAAACAATCGGCGGCCCGTGGAGGTGCTTGAGGCCGTATTTCGGCTCCTTGCGGTTTTTAACTTGCCATCCGACGTACGACATCCGACGCGAGAGCTCGATCTCGCTTTTCACCGACGACGAGAGGTCCTCCGCGCTGCCGAGGAAGACGGGGAGCAGGCCGTCGATGCCTTGCTCGTCGTGATGGCACTGGATACCGGCGCCGCGCTTCCAGAGGTGCCAGAGCTGATCCTGGCTGATGTTGCGGATGCCACGCTCAAACGGGATTATGTGCGTGAAGCTGAGCCAGGCATCTGCGGCGATACCGCTGAGCTTGCTCTTGACCTGCGTCGAAATGGGCTCGGCGACGAGCAGACCCAAAAAGTCGTCGAGGGATAGGGCCTCGACTGCGCGGATCCGCCGCGCGTTTGGGGTGCCGTAAATCTTGAAAGCAGCGTCCCTCGCCATGACGAGGAGGAGTCGTGCGAGGAACTCTCCATGGCTTCCCACCAAGTCCAGATCACGTCCGAGGCTGATGAGCTCGCTGACCAGCGTCTCGAGGGCTTCAGAATAAGCCTTCGGATCCTTTAGCAGGACGAACCACGCCGCCAACGCGAGCATCGGCTCGCTATGAACTGTCGTCTTGCAGACGGCGTCGTTCTCCAACCCGCAGAGGTAGCGCATGTGTGACTCCACGAGCTCGCGAGCGACGACATTCGACTGGCTGCCGGGCCGAAGCGGGAGCAGATCCATGCAGCATCGCTGCGAAAAGAGCGCTGCAACCGTTGAAGCGCTGCCCAAGTCGGCGGCGCCATCGGTGCGGACCAGTTTCAACACTGCGCTGTCGAGGACTTGGTCGCTGGCATAGATAGACCACAGAGGCCGTCCGTAAAGCTTCAGATGGTCGAGGGTGAGGACGTCGAGCGCCGACTTTGGATGCGCGCCTTTGCGCCACAGGAGATCGAACCCGATGTCCCACCAAGCCGGCACGCTAAGCTGGTTGGCTGCTCGCTCGGAATTCTCCTTGGCCTGAGCCGGGAGTGCCTTGGCCACCGCGCTTGTCGTGTCCAAGAGCAGGAACCAGATCTGAAAGCGTGAGTTGCCGTGGAGCTCCGACAGGAGGGCGATGCATCGACAGAGGCTCTCGGAAGGGGTCGTCGAGGTTGGGGTATCGAGGAGCGTGAATTCGTCGATGGCGATGTAGAAGATCGTTGGCTGCACGGCATCCGCCGTCTTGTCGAGCTCGGCCCGCTTTTGCTTGACCGGCATGGCGTCACAAAGGAGCTGCTGGAGACGATTGAGGATCGGAACGAGGTAATCTTCCATGAGCCGGGTGAGGTGACGGAGATGCTTCCTCAGCTTTTGTGCCGGCTCGTCGGATTCCGCTGCGGGGCCAGCGACCTCGTTGGCCGGAACAGGCCCTTGGAAGTCTTCGGGAAAGCGTGTTCGCAGCGAGTCCGCAGATTCGCAGACCTCTTGGAACAGGCCTTCACGGACCCCTTTGCCGAAAGCCGACGTGTCTTTGGATGGATGCCAGAGGGCGAAGAGCTCGCCCATCGAGATTGGGGGCTTCGACGAATTGCAAGCCTTTTCGAGCTCTTTGCGTGCCCTGTCGAGCCAGGCGATGAAGAAGGCTAAAAAGGCAAGATCCGCTCGGTCAAAGAGCTCGAATCGCTCAAAGAAGAAACTGACGACGCCAGCCTCGGCCACCGGGAAGCCCTTGGTAGGCATGTTGGCGTTCCTGCGCAGCGTCAGGATGAGCGTGGGCCAAAGGTTGCGCAGCTCGTGGACCATGCGACTCTTGCCCGTACCGCTCGATTGGATGATCGGTATCGTGCGGCCGTACGCGCCCTTTTTCTGGTCCTCGTCGGAAGGCCATTGTCCGTCGTACATCGGAACATAGCTTGTCACAACGGCGTCGTGGAATCGTTGCGGCGCATCGCCTCGGTAGGGCAGCTCGAAGCCTCCAGACAACTGAGTGAACCAGTCTCTGTGGGAGTCGAGCATCTCGAAGTGAGTCGATCAGCGCGATAGAAGCGGCCCGTCGGAGCATGGTCTGCCAAGTCGTGGAACTCACTGCTCTTCGCCCTTCTGACGCTGTATGCTCTCTGGTGGCGCTGCATGGCCAATCAAACCCTGAGAGATTCGAGCCGCCATCCCGCAACGATCACGACCTCGCTCCTCGCTCCTCGTTCTTGGCGCGGTCGACACATGCCTCGTTGCGTGCGAGCATGCGTCGGACCGGTCAGCGCCATCGCCGCACGTGCTTCACATCGACCCACTTGTCTCGATGTCCCGTCCAAGGATAGCCGCCCGTCGCCCACCGGGCCGTGCTACCACCTCGGCCACCATCTTTGATCCCACCCTCCTCCCTAACCCCCGTTGCGCTTCGTATCTTCAGTCCATTGCCACGTGACCGGACAGTTCGTCAACTGGCCTCGAGACATCGTCCAGCCGTGCATCTGCGGGGATGGTCTCGGTTTGCCGTTGCTATGCACGCCATGAATCTCTCCCCCCTTGCGGTATGCGGCACGCCGCCGGCTACGATGCCAAAGAAGGTTGCCTTTGTCGCCCGAACCCTAGCCCTGTTTGTGCCCACACCGACGCCATCGAGCGGCCCCTCATACCAGGCGGCCGCGCTTCGTCTGCCGTTCCTCTCCTCCGTCATCGCCACTGCCGCCGTCATCGACGCTGCCGCCGCCAGTGTCGTCTCCGCCTTGTGCTGCCTCTGCCGACGTACCGACCCCCTCGCCAGTCTGGGCCGGGATCGATTCGGAAACGGCGCTCGGCGTGTCCAGCAGCACATGCCAGATCCTCAAATACGGGCTCCCGGGCGGCATGAGGGAGAGGCACTGGTGAAGACTGGCCGAGGCGGCCGCCGACGACCCGGGCGCGTCGAGGTGCCTGACCCCGTCGATGACGATGTAGAGGATGGCGGGATGGTCTTCTCGCAGATATTCGCCGAGCTCGGCTTGCTTCGCCTTGACTGGGCCCGCCTCGCAGATGAGCCGTTCGAGGCGCGTCAGGATGGGCACGAGGTGCCAGCCCATGATCTGGGCGAGGTGCATCCGATCCTCCGCTTCCTTGCTCACCGGCGCCCGAGCCGACTTGGCCTGCTCATGCACCACGGGACCTTGGAAGTGGTTTGGCCTCTTCTTTCGCAACAGGTCGGCGCTGTCGCAGACCTCTTGGAACGCGACCTCGTTAGCCTCCTTGCCAGGGCCCGACGCGTCTTCGGACGGATGCCAGAGGGCGAAGAGCTCGCCCATCGAGGCGGGTGGCTTGGCCGCCTTGTTCGACTTTTCCAGCTCAGTGCATACCCTGTCGAGCCAGGCGACAAAAAAAGGCCAAGATGGCGAGGCCGTCGTGGCGGAAGAGGCTGGCCCTTCTGGAAAAGAACTCGGCGACACCGCTCTCGGCCACGGGCAGGCCCTGGCTAGCGGCGTCGGCGTCCTTGCGCAGCGTCAGGACCAGCGTTGGCCACTGGTGGCGCAAGTCGTGCGCCTTGTGGATGTTGCCCGTGCCGCTAGATTCAATGATCGGCACAGGGGGGGCAGGCGGACCCGTCTTCCAAGACGAGCGCTCGTCGGCAGTCGCGCTTTCGTTGTCGGATTGCTGTGGCCCATCTCGATGGTCTGGCGCCGCAAAGGCCTGGCAAAGCTGGCGATAGTGGTCTCTGTCAGGAATAAGCAGGTCGGGGAAGAGAGAGGGAGGCAGACGCGATCAGCGCTGCGCTCAAGGAGGCGGCTCTTGACGGCGGAAGTGGCCACATCCGGACACGCACCTCTCGTCCCACTCATTGTACGGGATGACCACGGACGGGGCTGTGCGACGGATTCGGGTCGAAAGCATGGCGCCTCGGATCGCGCGAGTGAGCAAGGCATCCCTGCGGCTAGCGAGCACGAGCAGCACAAGCTCACCGAAGAAGCAGCGGCAGATGAGGTACTCTGCGGCCTGGAACCACGTCGGTTTGCCGAAGTCCTCGAGCATGCCGATGTAGTGTCTGCGGAGGCGGCCCTTGCCGACCAAGGGGGCACGCTCTGCCTCTCCAGAAGAGTTGCGGCGAATGGCCCAGGTTTTGACGAACAAGGGCAGTTCGGGATGGTCATGATAAGGCAGGAGTTTTTGGATCATCACTTTGAGAGCGATGGTCGTGAAGTCGGCCGCCACGTCAATGTCATTGATGCCGAGAGCCTCGCCCAGAATCATCTCGCAGGGAGCGACATCGACGATGTTGACACGCTGGCAGAAGCGGGCAAGGTCCTGGACTCGCTGTTCGGCCGCGGACGGTGGCGCCGAGGATGACGGTGCGGATGCCATGGTGGAGGGCAGGAAATGGCGAGGCGAATCAGCCAGTCACAGCACTGACTCGGCGGCGACCCGATCGAGGAGCTCCTCCGACCGCTGTGTAGGGCAGCGAGAAGGGACCATGGTTAAGTCGGTCGAGAGTGGTGGGCGGAAGCCAGGACGAGCTCTCGAGAAGGCCGTTGGTGGTGGTTGCTAGTGGAGGCGTGGCGAGGTGAGGCGAGGCGAGGGCCCGTAGCCCTGACCCGTTGCCGGCCGGAAGCTCCCGGTCCCTGATCCACCTGCCTCGCCACCTTCACATCGCAGCCACGTCTGGCCAACCATCTTCATCCTCCTTCGGCTTGAGCTCCGAAAGTGCCCCTCTGCCGCTGCCTCCCTCCTGCGTGCGTGCGAGCGCTTGCTGGATTCGGGTCATGGCCGCCATCCTATCGGCTGCTCGTCCGCCAAGTCGGTTCCTGGCCACGACCAGGCGAGCCCTTGTGCCCTGGGCCGGGCGTTCCGAAGAGTGGCTTGCGCCTCTGGCTGACCCCCTTGCCGCGCATCACATGCTGCGCTTGGCTGCCCCCTGCCTGCCCGTCGTGTGCCTGCCTTGCTGCTGCTCCTTCTCTGCCTGCGATGCCATGCTCTTCTTGCTTGCTCGTCCTTCGGGGCTGGCTTCGTCCTGCCTCGTTGCGTGGGCATGGGAAGGGGCGCTCGAAAGGGCGAAGGCGTTGCTGGCCGGCCTGGATCTTTCTTTGCCTTTGTCGAGGCAGGCGGCGCCTGAAAGCCACATCCCATGCCACCTGGCTACAGATACGCCTCGACCGTCGATGCCTCGCAATGAACCAGCAGCTCGCCATCCCGCCTTCCGTGTTTGGCAAGGCCATCGGTCGCCAGCGCCGCACCGAGGTGTACGGAGGTGCGCTGCCAACGGCCGAGCGCCGAAATCGAGCAAGCGGGGTTGATGAGGATCAAGTCAATGGCGGGCACCCCTGCATCGTCCTGTCGTCGTCGTCGTCGTCGCCACCGTCGCCCGTACATAGCTCATCACTCGCTCGATCAATCGATCGGCTCCTTCGTCGCCGCATCTTCTTCGCTTGGCCGGCAAGACGACAACCGAACGGCGACCGTCGGCACGCGGGCAGGCAGCGGGCAAAACTAGCTCTGGTTTCATCTGTCGGCGACAGTAGGAGTGCAGGAGAAAACGCATCTAGAGAGGCCGTCGTCGCGGAATCGCAGCTACGTTGGCTAGAAGGATCTTCCTCTTTGCTGTGCACCAGGCCAGGCCAGGAGGGAGCCTACGTCCTGGCTATCCTCGCCTAGTACTTAGATCCAGCCGCTGCGCTTTCCCGCCGCTTGGTGTTGGCCGGCAAACATCAGAAAGGGACGAAGGGGCAGCCCCGACCTCGCCTCCGTGATCCCGTCGCTCGCCTCGCCGCCCAGCCTCTTTCCGAAGCATAGATTGAGGAGCTGCAATCAACGAATCGTACGTGGTGGTCCAGCGCGTCATCCAAGCAGCATGCTGTAGGCCCCCGCAGGGCGGTGCAGGCAGATACATATTCATAGCCTCGCCCCGTTGCGCGGTCGACCGCAGCAAGGTGCCGGTACCCTGTAGCAAGCCGCGCTGCAGTAGGCAGCAAGTGGGAGAGACCAAGCTAGTTAGGGCGTCTTGGACCGCTTCGATGTGCGTTCGAAAGCCGAGCAGCTTTCACCGGCCTTCAATATGTAATGCCACACGCCAGCTAGCCCATGTCGAGATCTAGAGAAGTCGCTCACACGACGAGGTGGCCTCGTCGGAAGGGAGCCCGAGGAGGGCGAAGGGCCGTGCACCGTCTACCGTCGTCGTGGCCGGGCACGACGGAAGGAACCGAGACGCGCGTCGGGCCTGGCCCGCGACAACGTACGCTTCTTCCAGCGAACCGGCCAGCCAGCCAACCAACTCTGAGACATGCTCGCACGCCAGATACGGTAGACGTACGGTTCCTGCCCGCCTGCCTGCCTGCCTGCCGCCATACGCTGCGCAGCGCTGTCCCCCATCGTACGTCCGTACGTACGAGCGTTCGTCTGGGGCCGGCCAGCTAGCGCATGCAGCGCATGGGTGCGCTGATGCGTTGCGTGGGCAACTCGCAGATCCATGCATGCTGCTTCGCCGCCTTGCTCGTACCGCCATACGTACGTCCTGTCCGCTGGCTCTGGCTCTGGCTCTGGCTCTGGCCCTGGCTCTGGCCCTAGCTCTGGCCCTGGCTCTGGCTCTGGGGCTCTTACGCTCGCGCGTGCCTCTTCGACTGCGCTGCGGTCAGACGGCTGCGGGGCGGCTCAATTCAGCAGGTCAAACCTTGTTCTCGGGAGGCGTTGGCCAGCCAGCTGATCGTCGGGCCGGCCGGTCTTTGTTTTCTGACCTTTGCTCGCTTCCCTCTCGCCACCGTCGCCGCCGTCGTCGCCATCTCCGCCACCCCTAGCATCTTCACCTCGTCCTATTTCGGCTCACCCGATCCCCTCGCGCTCACCTGGTCTTTGCTTGCTTATCGACCCTCGACTTTTCGGCACGTACATTCGGAGACTTTCCATACTGCTCGAGCAAACGTTTCGACCGCTGCGTCCATCGCTCGGACCGCCCGGTCGGCCTCTCTTCGCCCTCCGCCCTCGCACGACACGGAACCTCTTCGCCGTATCTGCATCATCAGAGTGATTGTCTTGAAAACGCGCCCTTGCCTCAACCCACTCAACAGGACTCCATAGCTTGACCAACCACGCCACCGACCAGCCTAACAGCATTTCAACTGTCCATCCCGCATTGGCATCAGCTCAAACGGCATCGACGCAGCTCTCCAGACAACGGCAGCTGGCCGCCCCTTCACTCGGGGACACGCTGGATCGTCGAGCCTCGCTTCGCATCCTCGCCTTTGTCCGCGTTCGCCGTCGTGATCGCCGACGCCCTTGTCTTCCATTATCCCACCCGCTCACCCATCGCATCGCTCCGACCCGAGACGGCCCGGCCGCCCTTGTCCTCGGCCTCGTCCCTGGTCTCGACCTCGACGCAGGCCCCAGCGCCTTCCTCGCGGCCACGACGTTGTGTCGCTGCGTTGCCTGCCTGCTCAATCTGCTTCCGACCGCCGCGCTCCTTTTGCGACTGCTCGACGCCCGGTATTGCTTCACCCCGGCCATCTGCCTATCCACGCGAGCGCTCGGTCCTCGGATCGGCCCGACATCCGCCGCTCATCGTCACTACTACTTCTGGCTCTCATCAGCCCCTTGCATCAGGAGGCAACATCCGACGCGCTCGCAGGCTCTTCGTTCCTTTGCGGCCACACCTACTGCGACAGTAAGCACGAAGGGCTCGGTACTGTCTTCGAGGCTCTGCCAGGCTGCTCTGCCCCGACTCGCAAGTGCGCCGTGCTCGACATCCCTGCACCACTCTCCTACCCACGCTCTAGTTGCTTGCCCCCGCCGCGCCCACCGTGATCCCGCTGCCCCGTCGAAACCGTGACGACCTCTGCATCGGGCCAGAGCGCAACCTTTTTGCTCCAACGCTACCGCCTCTTGCCTGCTCCGCTCAAAACAATTTCGTCACCGAGATCTGCAGCAATTTACGCCTGGCCCTCTCCTCTCTGTTCGCCAATCGACGCTGTCCGCCGTCGTTCAGACACTCTGGCTCAAACGGATACGCCATCACGCTCCAATCCTCGGTCCGGCCTGGCAACGGAACTGCGATATACCCCAGACCCGGCCCTATTTCCTCGGTCGTCATCTTCCATCTCGACGGAACCGCGGACGGCTCATCTCGAAGCTTACCCAGCCGCCGCTGCATCGCGCCCCTCGGCCAAAGGAATACGATTGCGCCTTCCATTAGCGTCCTTCTCGACGTGGCGTTCCAAAGACCCTTCCGAGCCGGCCTTGGAGTCTCTCACGACAAGCCACTACTTCGGCCGCCGACAGGCCGACCTCCGCTGCAGCACCTCTGAACCGAAACCCAGGCTTCCCAGAGTGACCTCTAGGGCATCGAGAACCTTTACCCTTGCCTTCGCCGACTCGCCGTCACTTCTCGTCATATACCCAAACGTTTCGGCAGTCTGCTTCGCTATTCGCTCGTCTTTTGCCACGACAAGCCTCCAAACCTTTGCGCATGGCGTCAAGGCCGAACCCAACCGATCGCTTCTTCAATCCATCAACGCCCAGCGGAGCCACAAGGTAGAAGCTCATCAATTCTTCCTTCAAGGCTTCTCTTACGTCCAACACGGCGAGCGACGAAGATATCGAGCTGAGCGATCAGCACCGACGCTCGTCATACCCCTTCTCGCCACAGCTGCCTGCTGATCCCGGCTGCGACGCATCCATGTACGGCCATCTGCACTCTCTGTCCCCGCCGCCGACGTCAAGAGGCAAGGGGTCGCTCACCGCCCGCTCCAGCCTCAGCGACTGCGGTCCGACGCCGCAGAGCTCCAGCTTCTCCCTGCGGACCGCCGTCGACGACGCCGACGAGCCCAACGTCGCGTCGCTCGTCAAGCCAAGGCTGTCTGGCGAGATGACAGCCCGCGCCCTGGCGCAGCATCCGCACCAGCAGCGTTCGGCCAGCGGAGAGACCGCAGTCGAGGACCTCGTCCACCTGGGCGACCTCTCCGCCGCCGAGCTAGGGCGGGTAGACAGCCCGAGTGAGCAGGGGCGCAGCTACGACGCCTCCGCCAGTCGATCGGACCGCTTCTCCTCTTTTGACGACGGCGACGACGGCGCCTCGTCGGGGACACCGAGCCGCCCATCTTCGGCACGGACAGAGACTCCTACCGGCGATGCGTCCAGCAATGCCGGACACGCCAGGGATCGGCTGCGAAGCGATCGCGGAAGCCAAAGCCACAGCCAAGGCCGCAGCCCAGCGACCACGCCCGGTCCTTCGCGCCGGCCCTCGCACGAGCTGGGCATGGCGGTCAAGCCTCCGCCCAACGGGATGCCGATCGTCTCGGACAACGACTGCAGCCAGCTCTCAGAGGCCTCGCCGCTGCGAGAGGCCTTTTCCGAGATGGGCTTCGACTCGGGCGACGATAATGAGGCGGCCAACGGTGACGACGACGGCAACGGCCCCAGTCGGCGCAAGAGCTTCTCGGCCACGACGCCCAAGCTGGGCGGCTTTGGCGTGCGCAACGACCACGTGCCGCATGTCGAGGGCATGACGAGCGCCGCCACGGACCGGGCCAAGCGGTACGAGGACGACGCCGTCGCCCGACGCAACCGGCAGCGATCCAAGAGCGACAGCCGCGGATCGCAGGCCGACAACCGACGCTGCTCGGCCCGGCACAGCAGCAGCAACCTGGTCGGCAAGAGGCGCGAGCAGCTTCCGGAAGCCAGGGAGTGGGGCGAAAACTTCTGGTGTGTCATTACCGACCCAAAGGTGAGCAGCGGCCGACGTCGCCGGAAGGGCGAGCAGACGCGGCAGGGCAAGGGAGCGTGCATTGCGTCGTTCCCGGAGCCCTGACGACGGCGAAAACCGCATCGCTGACCCCCGGATCCTGCCTCCTCTTCGCCACCCGCCTCTCCGCCCCTCGATCAGACCCAGGCGAGCTTCTTTGCCAACCCGCAGACGGGCGAGTGCCGCTGGGAGGTGCCAGCCGGCACCATTGTGCTGCCGCCCAACCCGGACGGCGAGTGGTGGGAGCTGTACGACGAGGAGCGCGGGCTGCCGTACTACTACCACACGCAGACAGCCAAGTCGGCCTGGGTGCGGCCCAAGGGCTTCGTAATCCCCCTCACGGCGATCCAGGAGTCGACTCTCGGACGGAGGTTCTCGCGGCAAGAGTTTGGCGAGGAGCAGATCTCGGCGCGAGCCTCGCTCGTGCTGACGAGCGATTCCGACCTCCCCAGCGCGGCTCTCACCGGCATGGCGTCGTCAACGTCGTTGCCGGCCTCCCACGCGTCGGCCCGTGGGGCCAAGGCGCGTGCGCAGCCACCCCCGCCGGCACACAGCCCTGGCATCGAGCAGGTGCTTGCCGGCAAGGCTCGGCGCAGGATCATGGGCGCTGACCGCGCCCTCGTTGCCCAGGCCCTGGCGCAGCAGCCGCTCTTCCGATCTGCGGAAGCGGGGATGCAGAGGTCCTACTCGGCCGACGGCAACGATGCGCCGGCCGCCAACGGCCGGCCGCGCAACATGCGGGTCGCGTTCGACGGCCGGACCCATGGCAAGATGCGGTCGGACGCTGCGCGGGCGGGCACCGGTGGCCTCATCGCACGGCAGAAGTCGTCGATGTCAATGTCGAGCGGCTCGACGGGCGAGCGGAATACCGCACCGAGGCTGCGCTGCGAAACGTCGTCGAGGTCGATGCGTGCCTCGGCCTCGGAGCCTCACGGGCTCATCCCGTCCGGGGCTGGACTCGCAGGGTCCCGGTCGATTTCGACGCTGTCCGGGTCCACGACGCGCTCGGCGGTGAGGAGGACGATCCGGCGCGAGCGCGATCCGGTCAAGCGGCTCAGCCCGATCGAGTCGCTGCGGAGCAAGCGGAGCGAGCCGCCGGCCCCGGAGATCAAGCGGCTCAGCACGGGCGATCACCTCTGCATGTCGTCGGCGCTGCAGACCGAGATACGGATGCTGGCCTTTGAGACGTACGCGCAGCGCAAGTTCACCACCCACCGCACCGGCCCGTTCCGGCGCAAAGTGACGGTCGACAAGCTGGCGAGGTGGCAAAAGGGTCCGATCAATGCGCCGCTGCTCCACCTGGACTTCAAGGAGCTGCAGAGGGACGCCGTCAAGATCTTCAAGGTCGTCCAGCGGATCATGGGCGACCGCGACTCGTCGGTGCACGCCAAGCCGCCGGCGCCGCTCAAGCTGACCTACGGCATCAAGCTGGTCGAGGAGAATTCGGGATCCTCGCCAATGTCGCCGCGGATGCCTACCACCACGACCAACGGCCTGCCGCTGCTGAGCCCGACGCTGCCCGATTGCCTGTCGGCGGCGCGCAACGGCAAGCTGCCGCGGCCGTGCGACAGCAGCAGCCCTGACCCCGACGACATGGCCACCTCGGCGTTTCCATCGCTGTCGTTGCCGGCCTCGTCGCGTGCGCCCTCGATCCTGGAAGAGGAGCGCTGGGTGCTCGAGAGGGGCATGCAGAGCCTGCCGCTGCGCGACGAGATCTATGCGCAGCTCATCAAGCAGCTGACGGGCAACCCGAGCGGCTCGTCGATCTTTCGCGGCTGGCAGTTTCTCTGCGTCGTGCTCGTCACCTTCCCGCCGTCGGGCGACCTGCGCGACTACCTGCACAACTTTATCGACGAGCACCAGAATGACGCCGACGAGGCGATCGCCATCATGGCCCAGCATTGCGCGGGCCGCCTGTCGCTCATCTGCCGGCGCGGCGCGCGCAAGTCGACGCCGAGCGTCGCCGAGATCCAGAGCGCCAGCGACGCGGCCTTCAACCCGGGCGTGTTTGGGCGCACCCTCGAGACGATCATGGAGACGCAGCGCGATGCGTACCCGCACATCCAGGTGCCCATCGTGCTCGTGTTCCTCTGCAATGCGCTGCTGGCCGTCGATGCGCTGCGGACCGAGGGCGTGTTCCGGGTGGCGGGCGACGCCGAGCTCGTCACTGAGCTCAAGGTGCGCATCGAGCGCGGCCACTACCGCTTGGACGGCGTGGTGGGCATCGGTGGCTCCGACGGCGACGTGGCGGTGCTGGCGTCGGAGCTCAAGCAGTGGCTGCGCGAGCTCGAGGAGCCGCTGATCCCGACGTCGCTCTACGAGCGGTGCCTGCAGATGGCCGAGCAGCCGAGCCAGTGCATCGACCTGGTGCGCACGCTGCCGACGCCGGCGCGGCGCACGCTCCTCTACCTCGTCTCGTTCCTGCAGCTCTTCACGCAGCCGTGGGTGGTGCGGCAGACCAAGATGCCCGCCGAGTCGCTGGCGCTTATCTTTGCGCCGACGCTGCTGCGCAAGGAGCCCGAGCGCCTGAGCGTGCTGTTCAACAACACAAAGTACGAGCAGCACTTTGTCCTCTGCCTGCTCCGCCACTTGCCGTGCGCCGAGGTCGACAAGGACTTTGTACCTGTGCACGCTACCGCGACCGAGGCGGGCGTGCCGGGCTCGACGGCTGGCGCCCCCTCCGGGACGGTGGCAGGCGGAACAGCCGCGCAGCAGCCGCCGCAGCAGCCGCCGCCGCCGCAGCAGCAGGTCAACGCGGTTCCGATCGGCAGCGGCGGAGCGTCGAGGCGGCAGGGCCACCGAAGGAGCCAGTCGGGGTCGACGGCGACCGAGCTGAGCCTGCACGTCAGCACCGACGAAGGGTGGAGCAGCGAAAGAAGCATCTTTGACGCGCCCGTCCGCCTCAAGCCGCACACGTTTGGGGGCGCAGTCAGGGGCAATGGGGCCGTTGTGCGGGCACAGCGGCGCGAAGAACGGCTCGATGCAGGCGCCCCAAGCGGCAGAGGCCAGGCCAGGACGGACGAGGCGACGACGGCGACGACGCAGCAGCCGTCGTCATACCAGGCGCTTCGCCACCGGCCGGGCACGCAGCTCGAGACGGTGACGGACGTGTCGCAGGATGCGTCTTCGGACGAGTGAGGCGCGCCACGCCGTCGCATCGGATCAGGTGAAGCATCCCTCTCATCATTCTCTCTTCGTTGGCCCCGTTGGCATCTCCTGTTCAGTCAGTCTTTCCTCGTCGTCATTGGTAGCCGTGCGTGGTTCCTGTCCCTTCAAGCATAGTCCAACATCGCATTCCGACCCGGCCACGCCGTACCACTACTATCGTTTTCCCCACTGTCGCTAAGCATTTGCATCGGACCGAAAGCATGACCATGTCCCTCCATCTTCCATAGGCTGCTCCAGGGCGGAGACGGAGGTAGCGTCGCGACGGGGGGATCGAAGTGGCTGGGGCCCAGGCCGAGGCTGAGTCGAGGCAGAGGCAGAGGCGAAGCCGTGGTGGGAGCGTGCTATGTAGGCGTGCCCAGCCAGACCCGAGCTGGAAAAAGTCGGGCAGCGCATGCATGGCTCGTGCTGCATGGACCCTGAGACGGCTGCCCTCGCCCTCTGCCGGCCTCAGCCTCGCCCTCGGCCCTTTGCGCCTTCGCCCTCGACTGCTCGAGCTCTCCGCCTCCTTCCCTCAGCCCATCCATCCACCCATTCGCCGCTTCCTGATCTACGACCAAGGCTGCATCGCAGGCAAGCACTGCAATCCCTCGTCGAGTACAGGCAGCCCGGCTTGGCTAGCTCGGCTCGTCACGCTCATCCACATGCCACCGCGCAGGGCAAAGGCTGCGGCAGCCGCGGGCGAGCCCCATCAGCCACTCCCGACCGAGTCCAACCACATCGACACCCAACCGGCTGCCGTCGAGGTGACTGTCACGCCGGCAAGGCGGTCCGGCAACAGCGCCTCGGCCACCGACCAAAGGCAGCGATCCCAGACGCCCCTCCGGACCCCTGTCAGCGCGCTCAAGTCTTCCGCGACGAGCAGCAGGGCCACGCCCTCGGCGGCGAGGCGATCATTCACCATTGCCGTCCAAGACACTCCGGGCTTGCTATCCCGCAGTCAGAGCCCGGCAATGGCGAGCGCCGATGAAGGGAGCATCGCAAGCACCGACAGCCCGCTGAGGCGCAGCGGCAGGGCCAAGAAGCGCATCCGTTACGACCTTGACGTGCCAGACGACCAAACGGCAGAGGACGGCGACGCCTTTGTCCCTCCGCACGATGAGGATGCAGATCAATACGGCGACGGCGACGGCGATGACGATGCCGATGCAAGTCCATTTGAAGACCTCGACGACGACGATGATGCCGGCGGCAACGGCAATAGCAGACGCCGCACGCCGGCGAAGCGGACTCCGACCGCCAGGAAACCCCGTGCCTCATCGACCCCTGCCAAGGCCAAGGCCAAGGCCACCCCGACCAAGGCTGCGCTCGACGACGATGCCGACGACGCCGACGATCGGGGCTCGCTGCGCTCCTACTCCTACCTTGGCACCAACGCCGAGCACAAGGCCAGGTGGCAGAGCACGGCGAGCAAACAGAGGGCCTACAGCTACAGCCAGATGTGGCCCCTCTACCAGCCCCCGGACCTGCAGACCGCCGAGTCGGGAAAGGCGTACAATCTCGAGGACAACGAGGACGAGCCGGAGCAGGGCGATCAGGACGACGCGCGCCCCGGCATAACTTGGCCGCAGGACGGGCTGGCCAGGACCCGGCTGCAGGCGATGCCCTCGCTGCCCCACCGCCGGTTCCGCGTCCAGTACTGGTCGGCCATCTGCGGCCTGATCCCCGCCCTGCTGCTCCACGACATGATGTGGTGGCCGGGGAAGGGTTACGGATACAAGGAAGAACGGAACCGGGCCCGCTGGGCGCAAGAGAAGCGGCAGTCGGGCCAACACAGCGACGAGGCCAGGGTCGGCTGGCCGTTCCTCCACCCCTGCCTCGACGCCGCGTCCGTCAAGCTGCTGACCAACGACGAGGCCAGCGCCTTTGGTCCAGGTGCCAGGACGGCCTCCGACTCGCAGCGGCACCCCCTCGCGCACCCGATCCACATTAGCGGTTCGGCAGCCCCTCGAGCCGACCCGCAGACCCCCGGCAAGCGCAAGAAGGGTGCCGGCAAGGCCGTATCCGCTCGCACTAGCCCGGACGCCGACGACGCCGATGCAGATCCGGCCAGCGAAGCCGAGAGCGTCGCCGACGAGGCGGACGCCGAGGGCAGCGGCGGCCACAAGGTCGACATCGACCTCGCCGACCCCAAGTTCCGGGATTTGCAGAACCTTGGGCTCATGGAGCGATCCCAGGATCCGTCCGAGTCGCTGCGGGTGTGGCTCGGCCCTCACAGCGGGCAGCAGCAGGTCTCGCTCCTGCCGGGCACATCGACGCGGCTGGGCAACTACCTCGAGGGCAACGAGGGCCACATTCTCAACGCAGGTGGACACGTCTACGCGCTGGACTGGGTGCCGGTGCCCATCCACCTCGACCGGGGCAAGGAGTACGTCGCCGTGTCCGCTTCGCTCTCGCCGCGGCCGCTGACGTTCCTTGGGGCCAAGGGGCCGCGCCCGATGCCTGGTCGCATCCAGATCTGGAGCGTCTGTCCCGACAGTCGTGCCGAGGACGGCGCGGCTCGCAAGGGGCAGGCTGCGTTGGAGATGAGCCTCTGCGTCGATAGCGGGTCGGCGTTCCAGCTGGCGTGGTGTCCCGCCGGCCACGACTACCGCGAGGCTGCGAGCACTGCGAGCGGCGCCGATGAGGTCGAAGATGGCGGCGCTGATGAGCCGACCGCGATCCGAAGGCTCGGTCTGCTGGCGGGCGTTTTTGAAGACGGCACCGCGTCCATCTTTGCTCCACCGCACCCGGACGACGTGCGATGGTGCCATCGCCCGCAGCAGGGAAGCAAGGGAAAGGCGAGGGCCGACGAAGGCGCGTCGATGTCCATCAAGCTAGATCCTGTGGTGCGGCTGGAGCTCAAGTCGACGGCCGTCACCGCGCTCGACTGGGCCGGCGGCGAGCGGCTGGCGGTGGGCTGCGCCAACGGCTACATCGCCGTCTACGCCATCGGCGATGCGCTCCGCTCGGGCAACACGACCGGGCTGCGGCCGATGTACTACGCCTCGACCCACGCGTGCGCCATCACGTCGCTCTCGTGGTTCATGGCGCCCCCTATCGACGCCGATGGCATGCTGGACGTCCTGGCGCCGCCACACCTCATCTTTTCCGTCGGCCTCGACGGCAACGTGACGCTGTCCGACATGCTCAGCGGCAGCGTGGCCGTCAGCGAGCACCAGCGGCACGTCCACGGCTGCAGCGCCTTTATGCCCTTTCTCCAGAACCTCGCCAATGAGAATGGCGAGTCGGCCGCGGCCATGTTTGGCATGCGGCCCGATGAGGCCGGACGGCAGAGGGGCATCGCGGCGGTAGCGACCCGCGTCACGGCGCTGGGCACGAGCGCGTATCACCCCGTCGTCGCCGTTGGCAGTGCGGCGGGCGAGGTCAAGCTGAGCAACGCGCTCCGGGCCAGCAGGCGCAGCGGCAACGTCAAAGGACATACCGTCAGGGTGAGTGGAGAGGGCAGGCGGAGGGAAAAGTCCGTCTACGCCGAGTGTGTCCCGCTCACTGACCGATCGAGCGCGATCTTGGTCTTTTGTCGTGATGCTCTTCGATACGGTCTCGTGCGACGCGATCAATGCGACGCGATCGACAGGCCCAAACGCCGCTGTACCGTCTCGCGACCAACCGAAAGACGGGCGAGCTCAAGATGCACGACAACCTCGTCGTCGAGGTGAGTTGTCCCCTTTCGCCCCTGGCTCACTTCCTCATTCCTCCACCTCCTGACTCAAATCCTATCCGTGTCGATATCGCTGGCTGGCTGGCTGGCTGGCTGTCTGGCAGGCAACGACGACAAAGGAGGACCGGCAGGACAAGGCCTATTCCTCGCCGCCCGAGATTGGCATCACGGCGGCGTGCTGGAACCCTAATATCGGCAGGGCCCTCTTCCTCGCCACGGGCACCGGTTGCGGGCTGGTGAGGCTTGATTGGGCCGAGAATCGACTCAAGACCAAGGCGGCATCGGCGACGGCGACGAAGACGAAGACTGCGGCTGCGACGGAGGCCGGATGAGGCTGTGGAGCGACCTGCTGCGTTCCGGCGGGGTGGCAGCAGACGAGGAGGTCCGGCCAGACAGACAGAGGGGATACGCATTGTTGCTATTGCTGTGCTGTGCTGCCAACCAAAGGAATCGATCAGACGCTGCCCAGGCCCGCGCCCTCAGCGGCGAGCAGGTCGATGGCAACCTCGTCATCGAGGCCCATATCGGCGAAAAAGTTGCGCAGGCCCCTCGGATCCGCGCCGCCGAGATCGACGGAGCTGGTGGCGGGGTCGGTGGAGGCCTCGATACCGATGCCCCTATCGGCGAGGTGGGCGTACGAGGCGAGGAGGGCCTTTGCGGCGGGGAAGATGCCGGCGCACGGGAAGATGGCGAGCCTGAAACCGAGTCGCTGTACGTCGGTGGCGGTCCAGAGCGGGGATTTGCCGCCGGTGACGCAGTTGGCGAGGAGGGGCCAGTCTCCGAGAGCCTCGATGGCGGTGCGGGCCTGCTGGTCGGTCTGGATCCCTTCGAGGAAGCCCATTTCGGCGCCGGCATCGCGTGCGGCGCGGAGGCGGTCGAGGGCGTCGTCGAGGCCGAGCACGCCCAGCGCATCGGTGCGGGCGATGAGCAGGATGCGGTCGGCGGGCGCGCACGCCAGCTGGTCCTGGGCGTACTTTGCCGCCTTGATGCGCGCGATAAAGTCTTGCTTGGATACGAGCTGCTTTGAATCGAGGTGGCCGCACCGCTTCGAGGCGACTTGATCCTCGATGTGCAGTGCGGCGATCCCGGCCCGGTGGTATTCCTGTACCGTCCGAGCCTGTCGCGGTCGTGGGGCGAGGGCAGAGGTCGAAGAGGCATGATTGTGATTGTCAATCCGACCGACATGAGCATCCCACCACTGAACCACTGCACCACTCTGCTCCGCTGTGCGGGGATCGACTCACGACCTGGGGTGCACCTCCGAAGCCAACATCAGCATCCGCGATGACGGGCACGATGCGACGGGTGGACGAGGGAGAGGCGGGGGAGGCCATGATGGATACGCCGGCGGCCGAGACGATGTCGGCCATGCTGAGGAAGCCGAGGTCGGCGCGGGCGAGGCGCGAGGCCGAGGTGCCCGCCCCCGTCTGGTAGAGGGCGGTGTGGCCCGCCTTGATGGCCATCCGCGCGCTGATGCCGTCGTACACGCCCGGCGCCACGACGATGCCCGGCCCCGGGAGCTGGCGTCGGAGCTCCGCCGCCCCTGTCGTCGTCGTGGACTGTGCCGCCGTCGTCGTCGTTGTCGTTGCGGGTTGGGTCGCCATCGCGTGATGTTGCTTGCTTTTGGTGAGGAGAGGACCAGGCGATGGTGATGGTGGCGAGGAGCAGCAAAAGAAGAAACATCACCAGGCGGCCTGTCTCTGAGCCGGGTTTAACGACACGTCACGCCGCACTCGCCGCCTCCACATGCCTCCTGCCAGACGGACCCTCAGGACCCGGCCGCCACCACCGCCACCACCGGCGCTCCCTGATCCCGCTCCTGCGCCAGCCACGATGAGTGTGACCCCTTTTCGTAGTGACCAACGACGACAGCGACATGCCGAGCGCCTCGACGAGTCGCTTCATCACCTCGACCTGCCCATCATCGTTCACCGAGCCCTCCACGAAGCCCGTTCGGCTCCGAGGTCAGATCGACATGGACGAGGAGGCGGGCACGGCGCAACGGCCTGCAAAATCAGCGAGACGGCCCGTTCTCCTCCCTTGCTATCGGGAAGCGACGGGCGGCGGATCAGACTGCATGCGGACAAGAGCGGGTGGGACGACGACGAGGAGCGTCAACGGGTATCCTTGCTTGCTTCTAGAAAGAAGAAGAGTGGGAGGATAACTACTCGCCACCACGCACGGCAGCTGCGCCTCCGCCCTTGACCTTACGGCGATTGGATCCTCGGAGGCAAACACACCGGCCTTGTTCCACCCAAAGGCGCTCAGGTGATGGTCAGGTGAAGCGCCCCTTTGCTCCTGAAGGCACGGCAGACGCGTCTTTGCAATCTATGGCAGTGAAACTGCACACCCGCGCCTCACCGGGCCGGGCCCAGACGCGCCTCGAGCGGTATCCTTCCTTGCCCGGGTCTCCTGGCCGGTCTGAGACAGAGGCACTTTATCTCTCTGTGTGCTCGGTGGTGGCCTGGTTCCAGGTGGGCCGGCGTACAGGGCAAGGCACTGGCCAGGCACCGAGCGGGTGGCCGTTTGCGGCAAAGTCGCGCCCAGTCGTCCTTCCTCGCCAGGTCAGGCGGTGCAAACGGCTGTGGCGTCGTCGTCGTCGTCGTCGTCGTCGTCGGGCAACGAGAAGGAAGAGCTTCGACGGATGAACGAAACAACCAACGAATGACTCCGCCGTCGTACTGGGGCCCGTACGGTACGGCCACCGACTTCCGCTGCAAGGTAGATCATGGTGAATTTCACCCACGCCATGGCATGGCACGGCATGCTGCCCTGGCCTGCCCTGACTTGTCTCAGTCAAGCAGGACAGGGCAGCGCAGGCAAGAGCAAGGTACGCCGACGGTGTTTTGCTGAATGGTCGCATGCAGCAGCGACGTGGCCGGCAAGCCGGCACCGGTATCCCGGTTGATCCTCGTCGGTCGGGGTTCCATACGGACATACACAGGGCGACACGGCAATGCGGAACCGCGTTGCAGTGGGCTGTGCGCGTTGCGCTGGCCCTTCAGGACTCGGCATGCTACCAAAACCCCCTCTGTGGGAAGGAGCTCCGATATCCACTCCGGCATCCACTCTATCTTGCTACGGCACGGGGCGCACACGACGGAGTTGGTGCGTGGCCGACGTGGTGTACATACATTTGGCTTTTGTAAGCACGCGCAAACCAAGACTCTTGCCTGCGGCCTGCGTCGGGGTTTCGGAAGTGTGAGAGGGTCTGTGGCGCGACGGCCGGCGCCAACCTGCACTTGCGCTCGCGTTCTCGCACGACCTATGCTGGGTGATTCGGCCTTACCCTACCTCGTCCTGTTGCGCAAGTACCGTACCGTGGCAGTGGCAGTGGCGATGGCGGTGGCGGTGGCGGGGCGACGGTGGCGGTCGGACGAATGCGGGGATGTTGAGTGCTTCGACCACGAGTGCCAAGCGAGTCGCCTATACATACAGACAGTATCCTCTACTGTGCTGTAGGTACGAGACACTTTCTACCCGCAGTGGCTTGGCCCGCCATCCCTCTCTGGCCTGGCGTTGGGCCGCCGCGCTGATTTTGCGCGGGTAGAAGTTGATGTCGCCCCGGCCGAGCCACAAGGCTGGGTTGTGGGAACAGAGGGATAGCTTGTCTTTGAAAGGCGGCAGGAGCGTCGGTGCCTGGTCCCAAGTTCAGACTGACAAGGTTGAACAAGAGGCGTGCAGACCGAGATGCCGGAACGCCAAGACTCTCTGCGCCGGGCCAGCACGATACCATACGATCACGGCAGGGCATCGTAAGACGCCGTGACGGCGACGATGACGACGACGATGGCGATGGCGATGGCAGGGTTCGGTTACCTATCGGCGGATGCGCTGGGTGAATCGTCATGACGGTGTGCGGCGCCCGATACGATGTGATGCCGGGCGAGCAAGGGAGGAAGCTTTGCCTGCTTGCTTGTTTTGCTTTGCGGCTCGACTCTGCTGGCGTGAACGAGTCGCCAGGAGGCGATGCAGCGTAGAAAATAGGGGCACCCTGCATGCAGCGCAGCCAGCGAACCTGCATCGCCGTCGTTGGCATACGCACGAGCCCACATGCTCGGCCAGGCCAGGCCACGCCAAGCGAGCCAAGGCCAGGCCTTCACGAACGTCAGAGTACATCCGCACAGCTCAACCTGGCCAGGCCCCACGACGACGCGGGAGAAGCCATCTCAATCTGAAACATGGGCTGCAGCTGTCAAAATGGTTCTTCGCTCGCTCGACGGTACCGGTAGCCGTCGGCCTGCTCCATCTTTCGATCAAAGGTACAGCTGCTTCGAGGGGTGGGTTGCCTCTCGACCGGGCCCGCCGATTCCGTCGCAGCATCGTAAGGTATCACGTCGCCCTTGCCTCGATGCTGATCGCACAGCGACCGAGGTTGCGCTTCCAATCACTACCCCCACCCGTACGCAGGACCCATGACATGGCGCGATTCAGTCGGGGACTCGGTCGACCGGGTGGCTCAAATGCCGCGCACGACCAACCTTGCTCAGCCCACTTTCGAGAGCGGCATCAAAAGCGACTCGGTCGGAGCCAGGCTATGCTCATCCAGCGGCTTGGCTAAGCCGTCTGCGTCGACAGAGGGGGATGCCGTCGTCGAGCAACGACCTTTTTCATCTCCCGAGTCTCCGCTCCGCTCCTCCTTATGGCAGGCAGGCAGACGATGAGGCAGGCGGGCAGGTCGACTCAAGCTCGAAATTAGAGCTGCCCTCTCGTGGTCCCTCTCTACGATGCGGTACCGTGCGCAAGGCACGGTCCAGTGGCCGCACGGACATACATGAACCAGAGGAAAAGGGTCACCTTCTCCTTTCGGCCGACCGACCGCTGCAGTACGTGTTGATTGCCTGCCATCCTTCGGACCATACCGGCCGACGGTTCATGCCCCCTTCCCTTTGAGGTTGGCAGGGCAAGGTGGCGTGGCGAAATTTTCGTCGAGTCAAAGCAATGCTGCCCGTTCCGCGCCACGGGCTCGTCCCCATACAGCAGCGGCGCGGCCGTGCCACGAGATGACCACCAAACATGTCTCGGACCTACAGCTCAGCAGACTCTATCCATCCCCCCCATCCTGCGCGACCTTACCCGGCTGCCGTATTTGGGGGCCAGGCATCAGGAACGCGACAGGCTCGGGACGGGTCGGGAGCATGCCAGTGCCAAGGGATGTCGAAAAGGCCCCGACCTACCGGTCAAGGTGCGACAAGGCGGCTCATCCTACGGGAACCGCTTGCCGTCGATCCCGGTCACGAGTCCCACCTACGGTAGACGACCAAAGCGAGGAGCGACGACGTGAGGATGCTGTCAAGATGAATAGGCTAGCGCAGGGATCCCAGTGTGCGAGGCGGGCCACAGTGCAGCTCCCAACCAAGCATGAAGCCGCGGAGGTGTTGCACGTCTGGCGTGTGGCACTCGTTACCAGAGAGTGTAGTTCCTCCCCCGCCCAGCCGCCCGCCTTTCGGGCCTTCTGCAGCCCTACCCTTCGCCTCGACTCGGCCTCGCCCCTCTCTCTGCGGCACGCAAGTTTTGCCGCCTTGGCCGCCGTTCTCTTGCGGCGCCGACGGCTAGGTCATGCTTGCCCGCAGAGAGGCAGAGCAGTAAGTAGTGGCAAGCTTGACGGATCGCTTGTGTTGCTGTCAGGGGGCAAAGACGGGTAATGAAAGGGCGCAGCGGCGCGCAATCACTGCGAGCCAGTACCTCGCCTCAGCATCCCGTCGCTTCGCACTCTCTAGTCGCAAAACGCCCTGCCTGGCCCATCTGATGCGGTCGCGCTCTCTATACCATATCATGTCAATTCCTCTGCGCAATCTCGCTTCTCCAAGGGGGGCCGGGAGGGCTCTGCAAGCTAAACGCCTCCTCTGTCTTTGGCGTGAGAGAGGGGAGGCGACGTGCCACAGGGCGTCGCAGAGGGGCTGCCTTCGTTCTGCAAAGCTACAGTACGAAGAAGGGCTTTCGCACCGGTCAAGGTGGAAACATGCTTCGGTGCTCAGCTTCTTTCTTCCCTTCAACGACCGAATCACGCCCGTGTGGTCTGACAGCGAGCTGCCGGTAGCGGTGGCACGCACGAGCGTAGGGACGCGGCGGCCAGCGGCTGGCAAGGCCTGGCCTGGCGCAGCCTGGGCTGCTGCGGGCGAGTGGATCCGCTTGCAGAGGGGCGGCCTACATGGCCCTGGCCTGGCCAACAGCGCGCGTTACCCCCACCGCGCTGCCGCCAAGGGACGTTCCAAACGCCCGTTCTTTCGAACCAGACGAGAGGGGTGTCGAGAAGATTCTTGTGTCGACATCATCTCGTCGTACCGTAAGGTGTACCGTAGGCAATATAAAATGTCGACTTCTCTGACGGACGCATTCGGACTGCCAGCCAGCGTTCGATGCCGACACCTGCTGTTGATGGGCCAAAGGGCAGGGCGTTGGAGCATCCTGGACCGCCCGCCGCCCCTTTGGAACGCCCGCCTCCGCGCTGGGTGCGTGCGCCTCCAGCTTACCCGGCTTTCGACTCCGAGACATGGCGTTCACTTTGCAGGTGGCAAGGCCTCGATATGGACGTGTTCCTCAGGCTCTGCCACACGTCCACACGACCACGAAAGCCCAGACGAGCTCGATGGCGGCGAGGCGTGCGACTGAGAACACTCTTGTAGGCAGGCCGGAGTGGCTGAGCTCTGTCTCTGTTTGTCGCTGGACCGCCCTATGTCGGAAGCACCCAAGGACTCAGGGGCCCTGCGTCCGCAGCGGCGAATCTCGACACCGCCCTTGCCCGCCTTGCCTGGGAAGCTTCCGGTCCCGCGCGACCGAGACCTGTTGCCCTTCCCCTGCCGACCTCGAAGACGCGGGAGCTCCCGCTGGCGGCCTTGCTGCTCATAACGCCCCTTTTCCCTGTTCCCGCTCGCCCGAGCTAGGTCCTCGAGGCTGTCGCCGTCTCCGCCGCCGCCTAGGTCGATGGCAGCGTTGCGGCGATGGCCGTGTGCTCGCGGCCGGCTCGGCTGGCCATCGCTAGCCTCTCCAGTCGGTGTCGACGGCTGGCAGGCGGGGGGAGACGCTGGACGCAGCCTTGGTTGCAAGCAACCAAGCGGCCGGGCAAGCCAAACAAGCAGCCAAGAGAAATCTTGGACCCGAAGACTCGTCATCGGGCCGCGTCAAATCATGGCCTGCGTCCTTCCCGCACCATCGAGGATTTGTCGGTGCTCTGGCCGGCCTTGGCCTTGCCCTCAGAAGACCTTACCTAGCCTTATGGCCTTTTGTTTGCGCCTCTCATCGACGGGAGAAAGAGGCCTCTCTTCTTCCTGCGTTCAGGGTCTCGACCGACCGAGCGGGCCTGATCCCGGCCTGGTGGTGGCTGGGGGCCATCAGCCATTGATTCATTCTTCCCGCCGCGGCCGGCGCTTGAGTCGAGCACGGCCAGGCCAGGCCTCGCCTCTGGTCGAGCAGAGCATGCCAAGCCGTCGAGAGCCGTTCCGATGCAGGCCGCCTCGACAGGACGGTGACATCCGGTGCGGCCTTCGCCGACCATGGACGGGTCCGCCGCTCTCCCCGGTCGAGACGAGGCCGGCCGTTCTTCGATGGAAGAAGAAGAAGCAGGCAGAGGGGACAAACCACCGACAACCATCGCAGCGGCAGCCCGTCGAGGTGGGAGCCGTTTGCAGCGAGCGTCGATCCCGGGCGTCGCTCGCAGCGAGGGCGACGCTAGAGCTTACGCTTGTGTCATTTTCGCCTTTCCACCCCGGCAAGCAGGCGACCAAGCAAGCAAGCAGCAAGCGGCGGCCGCTCTCTCGGGACGCAACCGAGGCCGCTACCGCCCCGCCCCCATCGTCAGTCGACGTGGTCGACCCTCCCCATATCGGACCCTTGGCCGACGGGGACGCAGCGGCATACCCGCATCACGACCATGGACCAAGCAGCTCGGGCGAGACCAGGCCAGGCAAGCCAGCATCGGTGGAGCCGTGCAAGGGCGAGCAGCATCTCGGGCGGGCCGAGGGCGCAAGCGGGGAGCAAGGAACGGGCGGTCGGACCCACGGCGGGCGAGGGCCGACCATGGCCTGGCCTGGCCCGCTAACTTACGGCCAGCTGCACGCTTGCGTGTGCATGGGGGCGCGGCTCGAAAACTTCAAGTTGCGACAGGCAGCGCAAGCGGGCTGCTGCTGCTGGCTGGGACCCCCAAGGCGTCGGCCGCCCCCTGGCCGCCCTCGCCGCTGGCTGGCTGGCTGCTTGCTACCAGGCTCGACTTTTTTGTGGCCCCGACCTGCCTGGCCCGCCCAAGCTGCTGGCTGCTTGCCCCCCCTCCTGTTGCGGCCCTCGAACCCTAACCCTGGCCCCTCGACCTCCCCGGCCTGCCCGACCTGCTCTCGACTTGCTCCTCTCGTCCTGGTCCTGGTCCTCATCCTACCTCCTACCTCCGAGACCACCACCAAGCAAGCAAGCTGCTACGACCACGACCCCTCCCCTTTCCCTACCTACACAGCCAACCGCCCCTCGTCTTTGTCCACCTGCTGCTCCCTGGCCCGCGCTCCCCATCCACCCTCGACCACCTCTAGCTTCCCGCCTCACTTCCGACCGACGGCTGCCGCCAGAGGACACGACTACGCCGCTATCGCTCAGCCGGATCCAGACCGGCCACCCTCGCCACGACACCCTCCTAAGCCACCCCTGCCTGTCCGTCGGCAACTCCCCCCGCCCACTTGCGACCTTCGTCTCACGCTCGTTGCGCAGCCCGACAACTTGTGTCCGCCCCACATCCTCGCCTTGACGACGCAAACGGAGACTCGTTCATCGCCGCTGCTCCCGCGACACCGCGCCCCAGACGAACCTTGACGACTAGCGGCCACCCGCGCAGCTAAGCCCCCGGCTCTTTAGCCTACCTAACGACTTGACCGGATTCGGCCCCGCTCCGGCTCTCGCTGCCCGCACATCGCATCGTCGCATCACCTTCCATCCTCTGCAACGACCCGCCTTACGACCATCACGACCGCTTCTGCATCGGCCCTATCATCCAGCTCATTGTATCGCCTCTGAAGCGACAACAGCGACCTCGATTCGTCTCGACACGCGTCCCCTGACTTCAGCGGCATATTCTCGCTCTGTCAGACCAGGGCTTTTGATTCGACATTCGACCGTCCGCGGGATCCCGCGTTCCCGACATCGACGTCAACCTCTGGGCTAATTGACACCGTCGCCGACCTATCGGCTCGCCCGCCAAGATGGTGAGTCCCCTCCTGCGCTGTTGCCAGACATCTGCCTTGGGACGCGAGCATCTCTTCTTACGCTGTCGCTTTTGCCTTCCGATGCCCCTCTCGACCGCAGCCCAACATTGCGCTACCCTCGCGCTCACCCTTGCTAGGTGCAAGGCGGTCCTCGAAGGAACAGTCGCCTTCGCCTCCGACGCGATCCACCTCGCGCGCGGCGGCGCAGCCTCTGGCCGGTCCGAGCGCCTCGTCGCCGACCCGCCCCGTCGTGTCCGGTGCCCAGCTGTCGGAGCAGTATGCGCTGCTCGAGAAGCTCGGCACGGGCAGCTTCGGCACCGTGTACAAGGGCATGCACAAGGAGACCAAGCAGATTGTCGCCATCAAGCAGATTGACCTCGAGGACTCCGACGACGACATCAGCGAGATCCAGCAGGAGATCGCCCACCTCGCTCAGTGCGACAGCGAGTGGGTGACGCGCTACTACGGCAGCTTTGTCAAGGGCTACAAGCTCTGGATCATCATGGAGTATCTGGCGGGCGGCTCGTGCCTCGACCTCTTAAAGGCGGGGCCCTTTTCCGAGGCCCACATCGCCATCGTCTGCCGCGAGCTATTGCTCGGGCTCGAGTACCTGCACAACGAGGGCAAGATCCACCGCGACATCAAGGCGGCCAACGTGCTGCTGTCGGCGAGCGGCAAGGTCAAGCTGGCCGACTTTGGCGTGGCGGCGCAGCTCAGCAACAACAAGTCGAGGAGGAACACGTTTGTCGGCACGCCCTTCTGGATGGCGCCCGAGGTGATCCGGCAGGCGGGCTACGACTTCAAGGCCGACATCTGGTCGCTCGGCATCTCGGCCATCGAGATGGCCAAGGGAGAGCCGCCGCTGGCCGAGTACCACCCGATGCGCGTCCTCTTCCTCATCCCCAAGGCCAAGAGCCCCACGCTCGAGGGCAACTTTTCGGCCGCGTTCAAGGACTTTGTCGACCTCTGCCTGATCAAGGACCCCAAGCACCGCCCCACGACCAAGGAGCTGCTCCAGCACCGCTTCATCAAGTACGCCAAGAAGACGTCGATGCTGACCGAGCTCATCGAGCGGCACCAGGAGTGGAAGGCGCGCGGCGCCACCCGGGGCGGCGCCATTGTGCGCGACCAGATGCACGCTGCCGAGCTCTCGGAGTCGACCATGGGCGGCACCATGATGAGCGAGTGGCAATTCGACACGATGCGCTCGCGGGCGTCGATGTATGACGAGCCCGAGGAGGACGAGGACGGCGATCGCGAGTCGATCGACGTGTGGGCGCGGCAAGGGCGCGGCCCGCCAGAGGACGGCGAGGATCGGGCCGGCTACGCCACGGTCCGCGGCACCCGACCCGCAGAGGACCTGATGCACGCGATGGAGTCGACGCTCAAGGGGCTGCCGGGCAAGGGCATCAGCTCCCGCAGATCCTCGGCCGAGGACAGCAACGACGACGTGTCGGACATCTACAACGGCGCCGACGACAGCGGTGACAACCTGAGCGGCGCCTCGAGCACGCCAGCGACATCGACGGCGTCCGGGCCGAGCACGCCCGCCGACCAGCTGCAGACAAAGCAGAACCTCGACGGGCGCGGCTCGATCCACGTCGATGCCCTCCGCCAGTCGTTCCGGGGCATGCAGCCGGGCGGGTTCGGCGGCGACAGCCTGCTCTCGCCACCGATGCCGCACGCCGACTCGGGGATCGAGATCGAGACAGCAGCGGCCACCATGGCCTCGTCGGCGGGAGGCACGCGGGCGCTCGAGAGCATGCGGGCGGCGGGCAAGGTGACGCCATCGAGCAGCCGGCGGAACCTGCACGACGCGTCGACGCCGCGGTCGAGGCGCAGCAGCTGGAACGAGCGGCACGACATCAACGGCACCATCCTCAAGGAGGGCGACGTCGCCAGCGGCCTCGATACGCTCCGCCCCGTCCGGCGGCTCGACGCCAACGGCTCGGCCAAGCTGAGCAACGAGTACATTGGCAGCTGGCGGAACGGCACGCCTCCGACGAACCCGGCAGACCAGGCCTCGGACTCGCCGAGACGCAGCCGGCACGGCTCCGGGTCGGGGTCTGGGTCTGGATCTGTGCCTGGGTCCGGGCCAGGGTCGATCCCGGAGGAGGACTCGGCGGGGGCGTCGCTGGTGCACAACGTCATCCTGCCCGTGCTCGACCGCGCGCGGCGGGACGACATGGACGCGCGCGAGATTGAGGCGCTCGCCATGATCTCCAAGGGCTTCGAGGATCTGAGCCTGCTCAACTCGAGGCTGGCCTACTCGACGATTGTCGACCTGCTGCTCAGCATCAACAACGACCAGCGCGCCCGAGAGAACCTGACGTCGACGTTCCGGCAGCGCCTCTCTGGGCCCTCGGCCGCCTCTCCGATCGGCAAGGCGCAGCAGCAGCAAGCCGAGGAGGAGGTGCAACGCTCGCCCATTGCCGACCTCCTCTACGGCCGGTGGATGGAGGGCCTCCGCTCGCGCTGGTACGGCTGAGCCCGAGAGCCGGCCGTGCACGGACATTCTCGACGTTGCGATGCCGCCCTCGGCGCGCTTGGCCGCCTCCACCACCGCCGCCACCCGTTTTATCCCAATCATCATCCGGACAATTGCAACGCCAACCACCCTCCGCCCCCTTCTACCTCTACCTCTACCTCTCCCTCTCTTTCTCTGCTCCTCTTCGCCTGCAACCCTGCTATTGCCCACCAGCGCCCCTTTTCCTTTTCCCTCGCACACACTCCTGTCTTCTCGACCCTAGCCTCGCTCCCCCCCTTCCCTCTCCATCCCCAGCCTCATCTTCATCCCCACCCGCCCGTCCACCACTTTGTCAATCTGTACTTGTTTCGTCCCCAACCTGTTTCTCCTCCTACCCGGCGCATCTCCATTTCCTCGTGCCCCGCCTTTGCACCCTACTCTGTTGCCTTTGGACAATCCCCCTCCCCCTTTTTCTCGTTACGACAACCACGACGACGATGACGATGATGATGATGATGATGATGATGATGACTTTGCAATGACGATCTCTCTTGAAAATGCGTCAGCCTAGACTGGGCTGACCCGCTCGTTGTTGCACAGGGAGAGGTATGGGATGGATGGACTGACGTACCTCGCCTCTCACTCTCGCCTCTCTCTGTCTCTCTCCATATTCGCAGGTCAAGAATGAGGGAATCAAGAAAGGAGACCATGACGGTAAACCGGTAAGGGATGAGGAGGAGGGGATCAAAAGGGTGTATGTACAACCGACCAAACAGGACGGGACGGAACGGGAACGGGAACGGGGAGAGAAGGAAAAAAACCGAGGTAGGCAGGTATGTAGGGGTGGTCGAGCGCGTACGACGTCAATGGTGGCATTGGACAGACACCCCACCGGTCTAGCACAGCCGCCGCTGGTGGGGGTGGGTTGACATGGTGCCTGCCTAGTTTGCACTGTCGCCCTGACCGCCAGCAAGCACTTTTTCGAGGTTGTTGGATTCCGATTCGGCCTCTCGGATCGTCTGGCGTAGCTTTTCCACTTCCTCCCTGTTTGGCGTGCTGCCGTGTTGCGGTGATGAAGCAGGGTGGAGCAGAGCAGGACGGGGGTAGGATGATGTTTGGGAACGTCAGCATGTTGCTGCGCAGTCAAACAGGCATCGGCAGGGCCAAGACGACATCGCCCCAAAACACGGCACTCACGCATCGTTGGTCTTGAGGCGGTTGATGAGGCTGTGGGTAAGGGCAATGGCAAACGCGGGCACAAGGGTCAGTCGCTGCTGCTGCTGCTCCTGCCGCCGAGCGAGCCAGGCCCCTCTGCGCGTCCTGCCGTCCACGCCACGACGACTCACCGGATACCATTGACAGCCTTCTTGAAGGTCCTCTTGGCGTTGAAGGCGCTCTTGATGTCGGGCAGCAGGTCCTTTTGCTGGCCCTGGGTGGCCCCCTCGACCGTCTGCCCTCCGCTTTGGAGCCAGGGATGTTGGAGCGCCTGCTTGGCCGTCATCCGCGCCGCCGGGTCCGTGGTGAGCAGCTTGTTGATAAAGTCCTTTGCCTGGTCCGACACGCCCTCCCAGTATATCGCGGGCTCGAAGCGGTAATCGGCGTTGATGATGGCCTGCATCTCCTCCATGGTCGTGTCGCGGTCAAAGGGCGTGTAGCCACACAGCAGAAAGTAGGTGATGACGCCGATTGCCCCTGCAGACGTGTCGGCATGAGGACATGAAGAGAGAGAGAGAGAGAGAGAGAAAAAGAGAGAGTGCGATGAGGAGGGCACAGCGACCGGTCAGAAGTCGGCGGGGGCAGGCAGGCACGCGGAATGGGCTCGAGGAGCAACAACTCACACATATCGACTGGCTTTCCGTGGCCGCTGCAGAGGGGATGCGCAGAGGGGCAAAAGAGGGACCAGAGCAGCTCCGGGTCAAAATTCGCTGGCTTCCGCTGTGCGCCCGCCGCGGCCGACGACGACGACGACGACGACGACGACTCACGTCTTTTTAAAAATCTCGGGCGCCATGTAGCCCGGGGTGCCGCAGGTGGTGCTGAGGACGGTGATTTTCTCGTCGTCGACGACTCGTGAGAGGCCAAAGTCGGCGATGAGGAGGTCAGACTCTTCGGTCTTGTCTCGGAAGAGGAGGTTCTCGGGCTTGAGGTCTGGGGGCGGGTGGGGGAGAGGAGGTGGGTGGAAAGCAATGAGAAGGACACAGAGGGACGGAGAGAGAGAGAGAGAGAGAGAGAGAGAGAGAGAGAGAGAGAGAGAGAGAGAGAGAGAAGACGTCGG